CAAAAGCAGGTTGCAACATGAAGAATATAAATTTCGGGGGGGGGGGTCATATCAGAAGAGGCAGTCTGCTAAGTATGAAAATCCCAGACTGTTCAGAGCTTTAAAGGTTTTTACCAGTATTTTATCCAGAATTTGATCTGGAACTCAATTGGCAGCCCATGCAACTATTTCAAGAAAGGATAGATATAACCTCTCCAAGGAGAACCTGTCAGCAATCTTGCTGCTGCACGCTGGACTGCCTATAGTTTCTGGAGCGCCTTCAAGGGCAGCCCTACATAGAGCACATTGCGGTACTCTTGGTGGGAGGTGACCATAGGCAAGAATCACTGTGGTTAGATTGGAATAGAACAGATGTGGAGACAGTCAGTGGGGTTGGCACAAGTAGAAAAATGCCATCCTCACCACTGCTGAAACCTGCTTGTCCAGGGACAAAGAGGAGTCAAGCCAGACCCCTAACCTCTTAGCAGAGTCTGCTGATGAAAGTTGGACTCCATCATAATTTTCTGTACGTATACTTATTAAACTAGATGTACATTAGGAGTCATTTTTCCCCTAGGTGGAGAATCTTGCAAATATGATTTAGATTTATATTCTTTATCTGGCAGTTAACATTTCCATAGTTAAAAACTTCCAGGTTGTGGGCTTTTTTTTTAACTTGGGGAAGAAAACCCTATTTGGTTGTTCTTGTACTTCAGCAGCAGCAGCATGCTTACGCATACATGGTGGTTCATAATACTTCTGAAAGATCTGTTGTGTTGTGGCAGGTACTAAGGGCACCTTTAAATGCCCATGATTTTGTAACTTGGGAATGCTGAGTGATAACACTGGCAATTTCACCAATCAGCTTCCAGACCACAAATATGGCTTCAGCACGATGGGTAGGTGAAAGCCCAAGAGTGTAAAAAGCTATATAGTAACAACTCAGTCAGTTCTTTTTCAAACCAGAGAAGTTGAGAAGAAATAGGCTAAAGAAATGTATCCTTAGACTTGATTATTTAAACAGGAGCCAAACAACTGCTAATTTTGAGACATAGCTTTCCCGTTTTGTTTTTTGCTATTAGAATAGGGAACTTGGGCTTATCAAAGAAGAATGGGCATAGATCCAGTTGACAAATGACTGCCTTCATGCTACCTTATGGATTTTACATGTGAAAGCCTGAGCCTCCAGTTCATCAATCTCCGTGTTGTTTAAACTGGCAACTTCCCTGTTTCCATTCATAATGCGTATATTCAAAAGAAAAGTAGTTAATAAGAAACATTAATCATTGTGTAAAGTACTTTTATTTGTACAGTAATCAACTTTTCTTTTGTTTAGTTATGTTCATATCAGATAATGAAAGTTTCAATCCTTCACTTTGGGAAGAACAAAGGAAACAGCGAGCTCAGGTGGCTTTTGAATGTGATGAAGACAAAGATGAAAGGGAGGCACCACCCAGGGTGTGTAATTGCTTTATTCTATCATGGTTTACTTGATACGTTTCAAGTGAAACATCTGCTTTGGTTAGGATCATTTACTGTCAGTAATCTTTGGCCTAAGTGCCTTTTCCCCACCCGCTTCCACAAGGACCTTTATCCACATTGTGACATTCTTGAGAATCACAGCTTTAACTTAGAAAACTTGCATGCACAGTATTTGACCCAAAGCTATTTAATCATAAAATGGTTTATGGGTTCCTGGTGTGAAATAACTAATGCATAGCAGGTCTTGTCCTGGCTAGTACTTGAATGGAAAGATAACCTGGGACCCCAGTGTAAGCTCATCTGGTTCATTAGAGAAAGGATGAGGTAGAAACATAACAAAGAGAGTTTTGTTGCTGTATAGTGGTTTCACTGTCAAGAGCCCATTTAGGAATGTAATGGAATGTTTCTTTGTTCCCCCTAGCTGTGTCTGTCACAGTGATGCTTAGAATTAGTAAGCAGTATTTAACTTTATGGAGTTTCTTTTATTTAGGAGGGCAATTTGAAGAGGTACCCAACACCTTACCCTGATGAGCTGAAGAATATGGTCAAAACAGTTCAGACAATAGTACACAGATTGAAAGATGAAGAAAACGCAGAAGATGCTCATAAAGACACAAAGCAAGAAAATCAGCAAGTTTTAGTGAAGGATGTGGGTGTAAAGGTTAGAATCAATATCCTTTCATGAGTGTTTTTTTTTTTTTTACATGACTTGTTCTTGAGAAACCCATGCTGGCTCTTAGAAATCACAGCTGTCCTTTCTAAATGCTCAAGGACTTACTGTCTGATGATTTGTTCTAAAACTTTCCCAGGTATAGATGTCAAGCTTTCGGGTCGGTAGTTACCCGGATCCTCCTTTTCCCCCTTCTTGAAGATGGGTACAACATTTCCCCATCTCCAGTCTTCTGGCATCTCACCTGTTCTCAAAAAATTCTCAAAAATAATGGACAGAGGCTCAGAAATTATATCCGCAAGCTCTTTTAGTACCCTTGGATGCAGCTTATTGAAATGTGTTGGGTCACGGTGCTGTAATGGTTGGAGTGGATTTGGAAATGGGAAGTGAGGTTCAAATCCCTGCTTAGCTGTTACGCGAATTTGTTAGGCCTCTCAACTGAACCCTTTGTTCAGTGGTGGCATAAGGCTAAAATGCTGCTCTGGGCTTATTGGAGGTGGGGAAGGATACACAAATAAATGGAACCAGATTGTTAAACACAGTTTACAATAGATGTATGTTCTTTTTTTGAAAGATCACTCACATTTTAACCTATTTTCAGTCAGTAGCAGAGTCTCAAGTGCCAGGTTCTCAGAGGGGTAGATATGATTGGAAAAGTTAGGCCTACAAGTCAGAGGAAAGCTGAAGTGGATGGAATACTACAGATTAAGATCTAATGGCAAAATACTGTTGTCTTTCTGGAGTCACCACCAGTGCTTTAGGAGGGGAGTAGCTTCCTGTTGTCTGTATACTTACTGATGTGGAGGACCTTCACCATGGCTACTTAAAGCTGCACCTATTCTAATAAACAATCTGATGTGCTTTCCCTCCTTTCAGTATGCTTTCTTTAACAGTGTTAATGTCTTTAAATCTACCATAGACTTCAGAAATCACTACAGCAAAGAAGAAAACAGAAAATGAGCAGACTATCATGATGGGAAATTGCTTGCAGAAGCCTAATGAACTAGAGGCTGAGAATAGCTCTGGAAACTCACAGATGAATGCCCAAGTTAAAACCTCAGAAAATGCAGTGCCGATCGCGAATCACGAAGACATGCCTGAGGTATGTATTTAAGTAGCTCTGTTCTACTGTAAGTGGTAGCCAGGGGCGTCCAGTGTGATTTTGAAACAATATAAATAGCATGGTAAAATACATTTTAAGAATAATTTCTTTTAAAAATCATTAAACATTCAGGTACACTTGACAAACAGCATCTGGAAAGTAATAACAGGGAACTAAAACTGTCCGAGTACAACGAGCTCTGAATGCCTTACTAAAAAGTCAAAGTTTAATTAGCCGTTGACAGGCTGCATGCAGTTATATTTAATAACGCCACCTGGCTCTCAGCTGAGCTTCTGCCTCATCATAGTAAACTCAGATCTTATGAACAGGAGATGCTGCACAGCCCCATGATATAACTTCCCAGACCATACTGGCCGAACCTGCCATGTTTCATGTGGTATTTACTCAAATAAGACTGATCTGTAGGTGTTTCTCTTAATTCTGGATTTTTATAAATGTTTGTTTAACTCAACAGACCCCGTAGAAAATATCAGCTTTCAGTCATTTACTGATATTGGACAATTAACCATCTTTCCGCAACAACGAATGTGACTACTATGTTTAACATGTTGTTCAGTCAGGCAAAAATAATATAATTTTAATGAGCCTTTGTTCTACTTATTGTTAAATGCTCTCAAAAAAGAAATCAGAATAATATAAAGGTGCTGGTTCCAGTGCTTCTCCAGAATATAATTGTATACTGTATTTACTCGAAGGAAGATGACCCCGAATGTAAGATGACCCCCTTAAAAAAAGAGGTTATATATAAAAGCAGGTGACCTGAACTTAAAACAGTCTCTCCTAAAAAGTGTTAGCAGTATAACAATTTATTACATAGTAATCACTATACAAGAATTAGTATAGACTGCAGAGGAAAAAAATACTTTCACTTTTTGTACCTCTTTGCATTGTACAATAACTGTTCACAAGCAGTATTCGATTACACTGTTTCAAGTTTACAAAGGTAAGAGACTGGTGTGTTTACTCCTCCCTTCCCAAGAGTCAAACTAGTAGGCAAAGGCTCAGATAAACTGACCAACTGGCAGTGCAATCCTAAACAGAATTATACCCTCCTAAATCCATAGCAGTGGCTTTAGGTGCGATCTGAAGAGAAACCAGAGTATGGCTTTAGGTGTAACACTCCTTAGGAATGCACAGTTAATCCCCTCCTCCACCCCCACCCCCTTTCACAGTGCTTTCCATAGGGAGGAAAGTCACACTTTTCCAACTGAAAGTGTTTCCAATCCAGGTGTTTAAAATTAGCAACTTATTTATTTATTTTACTTACCTTATCCTTCTCTGTCTGAAATGCCTACAGTCTCATAACAGTTAACGCTGAACTGTTACAAACCTGTCAGTTTTTTCAGTTTCTCTCCTGGGGGGTGGGGAAATGCCAAGTACAACTCTGGCCTGAAGCACAGGGGCAGAAGCACAGGCTGGTGTGGAGTAATATGCTGAGCCAGAAACATAGGTCAGTAGGGGGAGCAAATCCACCCCACTGTTACTACAGCTTCTTACTGTTTGCCAGGGAAGGGACTGCAGTTTCTAAAGCTAGCCAGTGAATCCACATGACTCCTCCTCTCTCCATTTGAAATGCAAATCAGTTTGAAAGGCAGTATTTGGAGACACAGCAGCAAGGACCTTTCACTGCCCCTCTTCTCTGCTGGTGAATGAATTGGTGCGCTTTAGTGTGTGTGCATGCAGTGCATCATCACTCCACACTCAGCAGATCTGTGTACCTGAGCTGAAGGTGACCTCCCCCTTTTTTTAGAAAGCCCCAACAAGTAGGAGAGTTTTCCTTTTGAGTAAATACGGTAATTCATAATATTGAAACTAGCTTGCATCAGCAACTTCACAGTGTAATTCAGAGAACATCAAATAGTAACCATCTTGAAGGACTTTTAAGAAGCTGGTTCAAGCCTGATTCTACCTACCTGGGTGAAGGTTTCACTAATTTAAAATTGAGGCTGTCAGTGAAGGATGATAGTGGAGATAGCAAAAGGGCTTAGAAATTAATTCAGCCCATCCTTCTGACATCTACAAAAGGGTTCTACAGAAGGGTTATCCTATTTCAAGGATTTTTGAAATTCTTAGATCATAAAATAAGGTCTTGTTGATGCACTGCTTCAGTCACTATTAGACAGAAAATTTCTGGAAAAGAAGTCTTGAGGGCAAGAAGCTGGTGGTTAATTTGAGGGGAATTAGAATGTACTGTCTTCCGATACTGCACTACTTTAAGGACAGGGAATTCATTGTATATAATTTAGCACATAAATTATACTATTTGGTATTGTTATAGAATCTAAAAATATAAATGCCTTTGAGGTATTACAACAATATGGAATGGAACTACAAGCTGCTACATCAAAAGAAACCATGGGTATAGGTTGGTATTGGTACTGCTTACTCTTTTTTTCTGCTGATCCTGTTGATGCAAAGAGGAGAGGGGGAAGGGGGGCAAATCCTTGGTGTATAGCTGTTTTCTGAAGCCCAGCCTTCTGACTGAAGTTGTCCATTAAAGCTGTACTTTTCTGAAGCAGACACAGTGCTAAAGTCACAAAAAATGGGGAAGCTGCAGTGTGTGCCCAAAAATGCTCAGACATTCTTAAAGTTCACTTAGGATAATAATAGTTTGCATTTTGGCTAGCGTCTATAAATGTACACCATATTTTTTCCTTGTCCTTTGACAGGAGTCAGAAGACCTCTCCTCTGATGAAGAAATGAAGATAGCAGAAATGAGGCCACCATTGATAGAAACTTCCATTAATCAACCAAAAGTGGTAGCCCTTGGTAGCAGCAAAAAAGGTTGGCTTAAAAAATATCTGACAAGTTTTCTGAACAATTTATAGCACACATATAGAAGTTTTCAGCACTGGTGCATGTGCTTCGTGGATGAGCATATTTTCATGTGCTTTACTGGCTGAAACATAGTCAAAGAAGTCATTGTAATCGTAGCATGTAACACGCATTGTGATCCTGGGTATGTTTTTTCAGACCCAGGTACCACTGAAAGCTGGTGTGGCAGTTTAGAGCAGTAATCCCCAGTGTGGTATCCATGGGCATCATGTTTCCCAGCCATGGGTTTCCTGGCAACCATTTGCTTCCATGACAAAGCATGTCTTCCCCAAACCAATAAGTCATCCTGGCTTTTGTGTATCTTACTGGAGCCCAGTAGGTAGCACTTTTGTGTCTGCAGGGAACACCCATTCATAAACAGCTGCTTCCGTAGTCCTAAACAGAATTATACCCTCCTAAATC